CCGCGCGGGGCAAAGCAGCGGCGCCGGCCGGCAGAGCCGTGCTGGCCGAAACAGCCGCGCTGGTGACCGTGGAGCACCTCTGCCCGGGAATTTCCTAGTCTGTGGGCAATAAAAACACGGCGTCCACTCACCCTCTGCGCTTTCACTGGGAGCTGCAATCCTGAGCTGTTCCTAAACGGCCATCTTGGATCCACCCCTGTGCCTCACTTTTCTTACTTTCTCAGACACTCTTTCATCTCATCAGCATATCAGAAGTGTTTTATTCCTTTTAGTAGTGAATTTTTGCATTATCATTTTGCTGTCTCTCCATTATCTTTACCGTACCTCAATGCTAAATGCTAAATATCTAAAAACAATCTTCTATAAAAGTGTTTCCTTGACTCTCTACCTCTGCCTCTAACAATTTACTTGGGAATCCTAAAATCCAGATGCCTGGCTGTCTACTCCTTAGGCTGGGTTCCTTTTCACTTGCTGTAATAGTTATTCTGGGCTAACTTGCCCTATAATATTTGGCTCAATAAGTCATAGTTTTTATTTACTTATCTGTCTGCACCAGTGATAGTAAGCCCTGTGTCTTGTTTATTGGTATAACCAAGCACTCACAAGGTACCTGGCACAATGTAGGCATTCAGTAGGTAATTATTAAATAAATGAATAAAGCTTAATTAATGAATAGTTTGATGTAGGTGCATTCCCAAGGTGTTTACTGCAAACTACACCATCTGACTATAAGATTATAGAGGATGGGAATGGCACCTCTTCTCTTTCTTTCTTCTAATTTGTGACTCATCTTTTACTTGAAGGATGCCTTCTTTTAATTCGCCTACCTGATTTCCCATATGCAAATCAACACCCTCGGCTTTCATGTGTTCACACCATGAGTACCATCTGCTAGACTCTATCTCTATTTTAGAGCATTTCTCCTCTATACGTGCTTTGGCTGATGACAGTGCTCTAGAAACAAGAGCCTCTTCTCCCATCACTCCTTCATATGCACTTGAAAAAAATGTGATTGTGTAAAAGTGTATATTGTGTAAATTTTTATGTAATGTTTGTATATGTCAATTAGGCCAAATATTAATAATATGCTCAGGTCTAGACACTTACTGACATTTTTCTTTGTTCTGTTACTATGAGAGGTATTAGAAGTCTCCTACTGTAATCGAAGACTTGTCTCTTCTTCTTTTAATTCTGTCAATTTTTGCTTTCCATTTTTTGTAGCTATGTTCCTGAGTATATAGAGATTAAGAATTTTTATATCTCCGTCAGATTAACCCTTATTATTATGAAATGTCTTTATCTCTAGAAATGCTTCTTGTTTTAAAGTCTACTTTGTCTGCTGTGAATACAGCTATACCTACTTTCTTTTGGTTAGTGTTTACATAGCATACTTTTCCATGCTTTTATTTTAACCTTGCTGTGTCATTGTGGTATTTTTCTTAAAAGCAGCATTTACTTAAACTTATTTTTAAAAGAAAACACATTTGTAATCTTTGACTAATAAATGGCATATTTATCTCATTTATATTTAATGTAACGACTGTATATTTACGTAACTTCCCGAAAGCCAAAGCACGATAGTGGTAGAGTACACACTAGACATTTCCTGACTTTCAAATCCAGGATGCTTTCTTGCTCATTACCTCAGACTTAGGTTAAAGGCTGTATTTCCTTTAACCTTGACTCACACCTGCTCCTGCCACTGTTGTAACATTTACCCCTTCAAGTTCCTTGAGGGATTATGGGCAGCACTGCCCTGGAAACTTAGCCTGGAGTTCTGCTCTTAACATTACAAGAGAGGCGGCCAGAACAAAGGAATATTGTTAGCCCTCTGTGAGCTTTCCAGGAGCCCACACAATAGTATTGGGAGGCTTTCAAAGAAATAAGTTCCATTACTGAACTAGCATAAACAATTGTGAATGTCCTGAACTCATCTGAAAGTCTTAAGATCCAGGAATAAATTCAGGGTCAGGACCTCAATGCCATACTATAGGCTGAGAACCCAAAACAAATCTAAGGTAGGACTGAATCTAGGACCCACAGCCACCAGCAAAGAACTACATATGCTATATTGCTAGGACTCCCTAGCTCACCGATTTTCCTTTTTTTTCTTTTTTTAATGAGACCAAATCTCACTCTGTCATTCAGTCTGGAGTGAAGTGGCGTGATGTCAGCTCACTGCAAACTCCGCCTCCTGGGTTCAAGCAATTCTCTGCCTCAGCCTCCTGAGTAGCTGGGACTACAAGCATAAGCCATCATGCCTGGCTAATTTTTGTATTTTTAGTAGAAACTGGGTTTCACTATGTTGGCCAGGCTGCTCTCAAACTCCTGACCTCAGGTGATATACCTGCCTCAGCCTCCCAAAGTGTTGGGATTAGAGGCATGAGCCACCACACCCAGCCTATTTTACTTTTAAGAACAAGGAAGCCTTTAAGCATTCTAAAACTCAACTAGGGAGGCGCAGGAGAAAGCAATGGTGATCTGGGAAAGCTAGAGTGCGAGATGAGTGAAACCACTTACCTTTCCTGCAGATGCTCCTAATGTACACAGTGCTTCAGTGCCTCTGTCTTATGGCTATGAGCTTTACAGCAATCTTTCTCAAACTGCAAAAAGGTCCAATTAAAATCCATCTTGCAATTCCTGGCATTTGCATTAAAGTAGGCAGCATGTCTAGACATCCTTCTATAAGGTATGACTTTAAAAATATTAGAAGACTTTTTACCCAAAAGATGCTCTTACGCTAGCCTGCTTTTTCATGTGTAAAATACAACGATTACTCCTACTAAAATTAATTTATTTGGTGCTCAATGAATGTTTATTTAGAAGCCCTATTTTGCATAGGAAATAGACTTTAGGTACAACATGGGAATCAACACGGGTTTGACTAGTATTGCGTTCTTTGGAAGACTAGTATTCTTAAGGAGTTTTTAAGCAGGAGATAAGGCACATGTGCAAATAGTCTATGATGATTATTATTCGTGGAGTGTTATTATCCACCTGATTCTTTACAAATATTTCATTTAATGCTTACAACTGCCATGAAAGTAGGCATTTGTATCCCAATTTTCTAGATTAGGAAACCGAGATTGAGGAATTTTCCCAATTTCTCACACCAAATGAGCAATAGAAAGAATTTGAACCTCAATGGTAGAAAGGAAAGCCAATATGTGTGGGCTTTTCCACTGGTTCCACATTTATTCCCCACCAATGGTTCATAAAAGGAAGCAGTGAGTTTTCCAAAGGGTACAAACAAAATACCAGAGAAGTAGAGGTGAGGAAGGGAAAGCAATTCAGATGAGCTTTTAATGGAGTGGGAGCTGGGTACAGAAGGACAATATTTTATATTCTAGATAGAGGGAATGGCCTCAGCAAGAGGGTGAAATTGCGACTATTTTTGAGCATGGAGAATAGTATAACTTAATATGCATGATTTAAATTGAGAGGCTAGCAGAAGGCAAGGCAGAAAGTTAAACTGAGGCAAGATTGTCGAGTCTTGATGACAGGTAAAGGAGAAAAAACTCTGGGAGGCACTAAGGAGCTGTTAAACTCTGTGCCCCAACTCCAGGGACTTGGAGTCATATACAGAAAAGTTGTAGAAGAAAAACAAGGAAGCTACAGTGCACTGTCACAGTGCTAAGCTCTGAAAGAAGTGGTGGTGGGGAAGGGAATTGAAAGTTTCAAAGAGAAGGGAAACTCTGAGACCAAAGAGATGAGGACTATAGATTTTAGTGACCAATGGGTTTTGGAGAGTAGAAGAAGTGTATGAATCATACAAACTATAGTGGTGAGATCCTCAGTGATCAGGAGAACTTTGGAACCACCCACAGAAATGTAGGCAACAGGAAGAGGTGCTGGCTTAGTGGAAAGAACCACCTGGAAAGTGTCAGCCATTAGGCTCAGGGACTGCTGATCAGGTATGTTATGCTGGGGGCCCTAAGGCAGGCTGAATCCAAGGAAGAGTCACAGAGGAAAGGAGCCTCCTGAGAAGAGAAGAACCAATTGAAGTCCACTTCAGGGGTAGAGGGCTGGGAATGGGTAGGAGAAATAGAAGCAGAAAAATCAACAGAAGGAAAAGAGGTAATGAATTTGGGGTCAAAAAGACAAAGTAGGTAGTGACCCTCTATAGCCTTTGCTTAAGGAGGAAACTTTGTTCTTACAATGAGTGAGTGGATGACTGCAAAGAATAAGTGAATGCAAAGTTACTCAGTGCTTCTGCCTGACAAAGAGAGCATAAAATGGCCAGTTAGTTGCTTCACTATCCAAATAGAGAATATAGCTCACTGTACATAAGCCATTTTGAATTACATAAGCTACTCCATAATGGAGCTTATAAGCGTGGTTCCTGGGCTTGAGCCCAATCATTTCTTCTTGTTAAATGAAATCAGATAGTATTGTTTCCCTGTCAATAATGGGTTCTAAAATGGGTTGGAGCTTTGTGAGCACTGCCAATATCAACATTGCTTGAGAGGCAATCTCAATAAAGGAGAATCTGATAAGAGAGGACCAAGGGGGTACAAATTGCCGGTTGGATGAGGGAGACATTACCACTGAGGTAACATGGCCAAGCTCACCCTCCTCACTGGTAAGAGACTGTCTCATCTCTGTGCCTCTGAGCAACTCTCTCCCTCTTGTTTTTCTGCCCCTTTAAATTCTTTTACCTTCAAATTTAAACCAAATCATCTGAGATTTTTGCTTTTGGCAAAAGTTTGGGATGTACTGAACAGGGGACAGCCCTCAATTGCCTGGTGACAGGTTTCTCACTGCCGTCTCCCTTCACCAGGCCCCAAAGGCTCATGGCACTTTAATGGTCTTTTGAATGGAAATAGAGGGGAGTGGGTTTCCAGGACAAATCCAGAGGCTCTACCGGCCTCAGTAGGTGGGTCATCTACAGAGGGTCTTAAAAGAATGAAAAATACCAAAAGTTTCCTACTGCTAAAGTGAGGTGACTCATGTATAAAGGCTGCTCTGCTCACATTCCTCCAGTTCATTATTCTCTCTGTTGCTTTAAGGTCTGCTCCTTGTGCTGACAGCTGAGATAGGTATGTATATTTCTTGGAATGAACCACTATATTGTTCCTTTTTTGCTTCTTCATAATTTGGAAGCTCAGCATGGCCCTGTGTCCTTTCACATCAGACAAAGAATATTAACTACTCTCTAGAGAGTTTGAAATTCCCTAACCAAGTTTAAAGGATTGATACCATTGGCCTGAGAATCCCGAAGCAGAAACCAACCAGATGGCAGTCTTAAAGAATAAGTGTTAACAATAAAAACTAAAAAAATAAAAATAAAAAATAAAATAAAAACGAACATGGTGAAGCAGCTACATGGTGTCTTCTGCTCTTAAAACATTTTCAAATCTGTCATCTTACTGAGTTTGAAAACAACTCTTCTCTGAGAGTTGTACAAGAAAGGCATTACCACCCCATCTCACAGACCAGTTAACCAGGGCATAGATAGGACATATGACTTGACCCAGGTAATATAGAGAGTTCATGGCAGAATCTGAACCAGTAGCCAGGGCCCTTGGCACCTGGTGGATAGCTAATTTCCCCCTGGATGGAATTGCTCAGGGAGACATCTACAAGGGCTAAATAGGTTTATACTATCATCCTTTCTGTGTCTCAGTTTCCGAATGGGTAAAATGGGAAAAATAATAGTACCTCTCTTGCAAGGTTTTGGCGAGGATTAATGAGTGGATATAAGTAAGTTTCTCAGAGCAATGCTTGGTACATAAGTGCTAATTCCCACGTAAGCGAGCAAGAATACATCTAAATCAGAGTTTACCAGCTTTAAAGTTCTATTTCAGCTGAAGACACTGGTTTCTAAGGTTGTTTAATTCTCTTTTGGAGGAACAGAGCTATCTCTAAGAGATAACTTCAGCCCTGAATTGTCTGCTCTTTATAGGTTTCCTGAAACATAAAGTTCTTAAATCGATTTTTCCCCTTTCCTTTGAGATTTCAAATAGGGAAATCATTTGGAAATCAGGGGTTTTAAATAAATCTATGACTCACTAGGGAGCTTGCCTCTCACCTTCTTCCTCTGGGTAACAGGCTCTGCCTACCAGCTGACATGCTACTTCACCAACTGGGCCCAGTACCGGCCCGGCCTGGGGCGCTTCAAGCCTGACAACATCGACCCCTGCCTCTGTACCCACCTGATCTACGCCTTTGCTGGGATGCGGAACAACGAGATCACCACCATCGAATGGGATGACTTGACTCTCTACCAAGCTTTCAATGGCCTGAAAAACAAGTAAGTGATGGAAAACCTGAGTTTCAGATCTTTTAACCTTCAAGGACAGTTTAAACAAGATCTTCCACAGCAGACTTCAGGCAGAAATTCCAAACAGGCCAACGAGCAGGTAAATTTAGTTTTGTAAAAATTATTTCAAGTGCAAGGATGACTTTAATATTAAGGGCAATGGCTGGCTCACAGAAGATAGTTGCCAACTAAAGCCCAGCTCAGTTCCCAAGGGAAGCTTACAAGTCAGGCCACTGGTGGACTCAGATGAGAAATATCTTCCACTTGGAAGCAATCCAAAGCTGGTATTGATAAAGTATTCAGTCTCCTTGGTCAGAAGCTTCATTCCTAGGGAAAGAAATAGAACTGTGGAGACACTGAAACATAGCAACCTAGTCACCTACTCCAACATTCGTAAGTTAGGAAATAAGGACAAGAATGAAGATAAATCGAGATGAGAAGGCTGCATGACACTTTTCCTGGCTTCTTGCTCACTGTTGCAGCTAAATGTTGAAATGGATTCCCTTTCTTTTCATGTGTTCTGATAAACCACTTTGTTTCTTCTCCCTCAGAAATAGTGAACTGAAAACTCTCTTGGCTATTGGTGGCTGGAACTTTGGCACTGCTCCGTAAGTTCTTTTTGGAGATGACTTCCTAGATTGATTTTACTCCAAGGTGTTGGGACCACGAAGGCCTCACCCTGCATTCTTTGTATCTCCCTCAGTTTCACTGCCATGGTTTCTACTCCTGAGAACCGCCAGACTTTCATCACTTCAGTCATCAAATTCCTGCGCCAGTATGAGTTTGACGGGCTGGACTTTGACTGGGAGTACCCTGGCTCTCGTGGGAGCCCTCCTCAGGACAAGCATCTCTTCACTGTCCTGGTGCAGGTGAGCTGAGTTCAAGATCATTTTGACCGGAAAGTATACACCCATCTCATATGAAAGATCACTGGGACCTTAAACCTAGTTTCCTACAATTTTAGTTGGGGTGAAGGACCTGAAGACCCTATTTCAGTAAGGATGCTGAGGGATGAATGGAAGGATGGAAGAAGTTAATTTAATTCAGAGTCATGAACTTCATGAAAATCAACTTAAAGTTACTATTCACGGACTTTTTCCTGCTCCTGTATAGGAAATGCGTGAAGCTTTTGAGCAGGAGGCCAAGCAGATCAACAAGCCCAGGCTGATGGTCACTGCTGCAGTAGCTGCTGGCATCTCCAACATCCAGTCTGGCTATGAGATCCCCCAGCTGTCGCAGTGAGTGATGCGCCTTATCCCCAAACTCCTGGAGGTGTCACTTGGGCAGGTCTGTCTTGTCCTTGGTCTGTCTTGCTATTCAGGGACCTTGTTTAGGAGGCTTTGGAAGTGGGGAAATGTGCCTTCACAGGTGTGGGAAATGACCATCAGAAATGATTTTAAATCCTCTACCCCACCTCAGGTACCTGGACTATATCCATGTCATGACCTACGACCTCCACGGCTCCTGGGAAGGCTACACCGGAGAGAACAGCCCCCTGTACAAATACCCGACGGACACTGGCAGCAACGCCTACCTCAACGTGGTGAGTCCCTGTACAGATGCAAGTGCTGACCAGAGATGATGATGTAACTCACATAGAGATTCAGGCACAAAAGGTATTCTAAGTTAAGTGGTTTTCTCAAATGGGAAGTTAGGCTGCCATTAATGAACTATTCTCATTTACCAAAAAACTTGCCAATTTATTAACACCATATTGATAATTTTACCTAACATGAAAGAAGATTAATAACGAGTATGTTGTTTTGTAATAAAAGAAAATGATATCCCACTGCTCCTATTTCAATAAATTATAAAAGGCTTTTACCACCTTTCCCCTTTTGCTGTTTCCCTTTTGTCTTATCTATTTTCTACTGTTCTAATCTGTTGCCCATCTATGCCATATAGAGTTTCAGCCATTAACCAATGAATCATACCAGCAATATCATTTTAAAGGTCTTGCTTTTCTACTATACTTTTATCAGAAGGGTATATGTAAAGCCTGCATATTGGCATATTATTTTTAAAAGTTAGTTTAGAATGAGGCATCCCACTTTAAATATGTTGCAAGTACCTTATACAGTGGGCACCACCAAACCGAAAAAAGTTTAGCTAATAATTAATCACTAGGCCAGTACCTATGGGTGAGAACTCTAGCTAATCCACTGCCATTCCAGGATTATGCCATGAACTACTGGAAGGACAACGGGGCCCCAGCTGAGAAGCTCATCGTTGGATTCCCAGCCTATGGACACACCTTCCTTCTGAGCAACCCCTCCAACCATGGGATTGGTGCCTCTACCACTGGTCCTGGCCCTGCTGGGCCCTATACCAGGCAGTCTGGGTTCTGGGCCTACTATGAGGTATACGCTCAAATTTTAGAGGAAAGCTGGCTTTTCTGGGTCCATGCAGATAATAATATAAACAATATTTAACGGTTCTTGGACCATTTAGTAAACCATTGGAGCGGAAAGTGGATGTTTGTGACTCTCTAGAAGGGAGGCAAGATAAGCCCTCCTGTTGTATCACTTCAACTGGGCCTTCACTAGGGTCCTTTGAGGCTGGATTCCAAACACAGAAACAGTAGGAAAGCAGGTTATCATTGGTGAGAGTATATAAATCTGTAGATACTTCTGACTGCCAGGGCATTCCTTGATTTAAGACTTTCTCCCCACATTGAAAATAAATTACTCAAAAGGGATGAAGAAACAGAATCCCAAATGAACTAAGAAACTTGCTGATAGAGCCACAGACCTTCATTTTCAAGTCGTTTTTATGCAATCCTTCTCTACTTCCCCTTCCCCGTGTCCTTTTACCTCTGCCACCACAAGGACAATGCCCACCTCTTGATCTGTTCCTTATATTCTGTTAGATCTGTACCTTCCTGAAGAATGGAGCTACTGAAGTATGGGAGGCTCCTGAGGATGTTCCCTATGCCTACAAAGGAAATGAGTGGCTTGGATACGATAACACCAAGAGTTTCAAAATCAAGGTAGACCGTGTTCCATGGGCTGTTGCTGCCTGTGAGCAAGTTCCCATTATAGCCCCGAAGCCACAGCTCAGTCTTGGTGTCTGTACGTAATTGGCTTCCTTTCCAATTATTACAGGCTGATTGGTTAAAGAAGAACAACTTCGGAGGCGCCATGGTCTGGGCCATTGACTTGGATGATTTCACAGGCACTTTCTGCAACCAAGGAAAATTCCCTCTGATCACCACCCTGAAGGATGCTCTGGGCCTGCAGAGTGCAAGTGAGTTAGGGAGTGAGAAGGGACACTAAGCCTCAGACTTGAGAGAAATGCCAAAGGTTCCTTAGAAGTCAGGGAGCCATTGCATAAGTAATTGTCTGACTATTGCTCCATTCCTATCCGGTAACAGTTGATTAATGGTGGGAAGAACAAACAGGGCTCTTCACCATTTCTTCCTTCCTTCATTCATTTCGCAAGCAATTTGTTGAACATCTATTACATATACAGTGCTCTGTAGGTACCACAGGTGATCCAAATGCATAAATACCCATATCTATGTCTGCTCTATGGAAGTTTACAATCTAGGGAGAGAAATTGGATTCACAAGATTGCAAAGCCAGACAACAATACAGAAGATATTATATGATAAAGTGCCCCCTAAAAGAATAAGTGACCTTCTTGTGAGTTCATGATAATGAGAAATTTCAATCAGTACGACGTAAGGAGCAAGAAATGCGCTGTGCCTTGAAGGATGAGGAAGGAGTTGCTAAGCAAAGGGGTGAGTGGAACAGGGAAGATGTATCAAATCAGGAGACTGAAATATGCACAGACATGGAAAGAGGAGCCAAGAACAAACTCCAGGGTATTAGCTCTCATGCATCAGGTATCACTGGCTAAAAACAAGGAGGTTCAGGATTTATTTATTTTTTTTTTCTTCTCAGGTTGCAAGGCTCCAGCTCAACCCATTGCTCCCATTACCGAGGCACCTAGCACAGGTGGTGGCAGCCACAGCGGTAGCTCTGGGGGCAGCTCTGGGAGCAGCTCTGGGAGCAGCCCCAGTGGTAGTGGATTCTGTGCCAACAGGGCCAGTGGCCTGTACCCTGACCCCACTGACAAGAATGCGTTCTACAACTGTCTGAATGGAAAGACTTTCATCCAGCACTGCCAAACTGGCCTTGTCTTCGATGCCTCCTGCTCCTGCTGCAACTGGTGATGACATTTGTCAGATACCACCTCACTCAGCCTAAGTGGTTCTTGTGCAATAAAAGTTTGCGCATTATTGCATTAATGTACAATGGCTTCTGCTTCTTTACTGTAGGATCTTAGATGTAATTAATCCCTATCTCCCAATGGTATACAGCTGCCCTACCAGCCCCCAAGCCTACAGCATACACTGCTCTTCCTGGGTGTTGGGTAGCAGAAGCAGGGGGATTCAAGGAAAATACATAGTCCCTTCATTCTCAAAGCATGTACTCAGATGAAGGCTGGGGACCCCAAGAATGTAAGACTCAGATAACCACAACCCATAAACAAATGTCATTTTACTATGATCAATTTGGCCTGTTTGTTGAGAATGCACCGTTAGGAGGCTATTGCGGTGACTGAGGGGAGAGATGCAGGGTCAGAACAAAGTAGCAGCAGTAGAAGTGGTCCGAGTTGATTGCGCTTAAGCCGCATTCTTAAGATTCATTAAGCTGGCCATTTTCTTTATGGGTTGTATGTAGAGTGTGGGAGACGAAAAGAGGAGCCAAGGATAATTTCAACATTTTCACTTAAAAAATTGCAAATATGAAATTATCATCAACTGAAATGGAGAAAGTTAAATGTAGAGTAAATTATGAAAGAAGAGCAGGAGTTCACTTTGGACGTGTTGACTTTAAGATGGTTATTGGGTTTCTAAGTGGAGCTATGGAGTAGATAGTTGGACATAAAACTATTGGAGGGAGTTCATATTTAAAGTCAATAGATTAGATGAGATCATTAAGGGAGACAGAGAAAGGAAAGTGTTCAAGGACTAAGCCCTGAGCATTTCAGCACTTAGAGGGAGGCTGGAGAGAAGAGCAGGAACAAGTAACGAAGACCAAAAAAGGAGGGCCAAGGGCGGTAGAAGGAAAACCAAGAGTCAAGTACCCTGACAGCCAAGAAAAGAAACATATGAAGGAGGAGAAAGTGATCAAGTTCATTAAATACTACTTAGGTCAGGTCTGAGAATTGACCATCAAATTTAACAACCTCTAGATCGTTGATAAAATTGACAAAAGTAGGGTTGGTAAACAACTTGGTGGCAAAAGCCTGAGTGCAGTAGGTTTAAGAAAGAATGGAAAGGTAAGAATTGAAGACAGTAAGAATACAAAAACCTGTCTTATGTGCACTAAAGGGAAGCAAAAAATGGGATTAAGAATAAAAGATTATGAAAAACAGAAGCTGAATTTATATTTTCAAACCCACATTTACTTATTTAGAGGTATGGGAGATAAAAATCTAAAATCCTTTCCATAGCTGTCAACTCTTCATTTTTTAAATTATTTTCACAGAGCCAATTTTTTTTTAACTTAAAAAGTGTTTTTTTGAGATAAGGTCTCATTTTGTTGCCCAGGCTGGGTAGAGTGAACTCACGACTCACCACACCCTCGACCTCCTAGGCTCAAGCAGTTCCCCTGCCTCAGCCTCCCAAAGTGCTGGGATTAAAGGCATAAGCCACCACATCCAGCCCCAAGTTTTTAGTATCACTTTGTTTTATAATAGAACTAAAGTCCTGTGTTTCAATCAACGCAATATTCATCCCCTATGCTTATACTACAGCTTCTTCAATATTTGTTTCTTTAATTAGCTACTTGTTTGTTTTGTTTTTGTTTGCCAAGAAGGACTTGCAGTATCTTCCACTTTCTTGGATGTGTGAAAATGCCTGACTGTTGTCTTTTTACTTGATTGGTAACTTTTTGGACATAAAGTTATTAGTTCACTCCTTTACTCAAAATTTTGTAAATATTACTGCTTTTTATTCTGGCATTGAATATTGAGCTAGTTCTTTTCCCATGGCTCTTTCATTTACTTCTTCAGGGGTGGCTGTTTTGTAGTTGAATAGTTTTTTTCAAGTATTTGTGTAGCTGCCGCAGGCCTTAAGCTCCTTCGTATGTGAGAATGTCTACCTGTCTCCTCTGTTCTTGGAAAGCATAATTCAAATATATTATACTTGGTAGAATATAATATAATGGGCTTGTACTTTCTTTTCCTCAGAACTCTTCAGGTGTAGACAAACTTCTTAACATGATTTCAAATTATCTCCGCCTTATCTTTTAATTCCAGTTGAAGCTGCAGCGACCAATTCTGCATAAGCCTTAATCGCCTTCATGGCGCTAGGAAATCTTCCTTTAGATGTGTGTTGTGCCCTTCTTGCCACCCTTCCTACAGCTTCTGAGATACAGGTTTCCACTCAAACAGGTACAATCTAGACATGCAGAGGGATTGTTGTCATTTACGAAGATCAAGGGAACATGATGTTTCCACCTTTCTTCCCATGATGTTCTAGAAACACATTATTTAAGACTTCTAGCACTGCTCCAAAGGGATGGAGCATTTAGTTGTTTCTACCAGTGGCTAATTTGATAAAAGCATGTTTTTATTGGCCCTCCCTTCTTCCCTGTTTCACTCCCCTTTCTCTTACATTCCTTGGATTCTACTCCACTCTCACATGAGCTACTTCCAGGTGAACTTAGCCTTAGATAGTAGGCATTGCTCCATTGTGTTCTGGCATTGAATATTGTTGTGGGGTTGTTTGAAGCCAGTGAATAATCACTACACTTCTATAATCCACTTTTAAAAGTTATTTGATTTTTTTCCTCTGAGGGCCTGAAGAATTCATTATTTATTCTTGAAGTTCAATAACTTAACCATGTTATACCTTGGTTATGATGGTTTTTGTCGATTTCTCCCATAAGACAGTTGAGAGGTAAGAGTTAACTTGCCTGGTGAGCTGCAGGTGGCCTCCTGGAAAAGAAAGTTGGCCAGTTGCATCTGGAAACCAGCTATTACCTATAGCCTAGGTCCTAATGCAATCCATCCCGGCAGAGAGCTGACTGTGGTGAATGAGAACTTCAGCCAAGTTTACACCAAGCAATTGTACTGTAATCACAGGGTTAGACCGTATCAGGAGAAAGCCAAGTGTTCTCCAATAGATAAATGCTGAGGTAGTAGATAAGACTGAAAGCCAAGGTTTTGCTATATAATACTGTTATTAGATCCCATATCCTAATCTCACTAGAGTTTTGTTAAGAAGCTTAAAAGTCCCAACATCCAAGGCCCAGAGCCTCTTTCTCAAGTTATGTGCTGCCTGAGAATAAAATAAACACCAGAGGATCACTCATCCGCCATTGCTTCAGTCTCTGATTTTTTACCTAAAAAATACTGTTCCAGAAATCCCAGTGTGCATGCTGCTCAGCTACTCACCCTTAATCACTTGACAACTAGTATAGAGAGCTAGGTGTCAGACAGAGGCACCCACCATGGCCTCCAACAAGTGAACCAAGGAGGGATTTAAAACGTGTTTCTCAGATGATGTGTCCCATCACTTTCAAAGATTGATATGACAGTCATGGGGACTAGTCCACTAAATTCCGAAGGATACAGAGTGATAAAAGGACACTGGCTAGTTAAGATCACCGAGCCTATCTTTCCATGATTGTTATTGTTGGCCTTGGAAAAATTAGCTCTAAGGAGGCAGACCGAGGAGAGCTTGACTCAGCATTTAGAATGAAATTGCAATTTGAAAACTTTGGTGCATGTAAAATGATTTGTGTATGGTCTTATCTAAGCAGGATCAAACAAATGCCTTCCTCTGACCCTCCTTCTATGACTGGTAGAATTAGTTCAAGATGGCACGGGTTGTCACATTGTCAGGGTGTTATAAGCTCCAGTTAAATGGGTGCAAAGGAGAGGAAAGACAAAGTATGTGACTTATGAGATTAGTTCCTCATAACAGGTGAAGAATATAATCTAAAATAGGCTGATTGAACCAACAGAACTTCTGGGTAGACTCCCATCACAGCTCCCTCTTAGAAAGTCTATGTGATGCCGGGCGCGGTGGCTCAAGCCTGTAATCCCAGCACTTTGGGAGGCCGAGGCAGGTGGATCACGAGGTCAAGAGATCGAGACCATCCTGGTCAACATGGTGAAACCCCGTCCCTACTAAAAAAAAATACAAAAAATTAGCTGGGCATGGTGGCACGTGCCTGTAATCCCAGCTACTCAGGAGGCTGAGGCAGGAGAATTGCCTGAACCCAGGAGGCGGAGGTTGCGGTGAGCCGAGATCGTGCCATTGCACTCCAGCCTGGGTAACATGAGTAAAACTCCGTCTCAAAAAAAAAAAAAAAAAAGAAAGAAAGAAAGTCTATGTGATTATGGCTTCTATATAAAGGGTTAAACATGATAAAATTGATGATGGTCCCTATCTTTGCCTATGGGAAAAAAAATCCAGTGAGTTTTGGGGGGAACTCATGACCCAAGTCATAACAGGATTTTCAGGCCTCATAAAGACATCATGGTTGAGGCAGAGGTGCTCTGTTTCCAGCAAGCCCAATAGGAAGCTAACAATTGCTTTTCAAGAGGAGGATTCACCACCAGACTGAGAAGCAACAGCCTGAGCTCCAGAGTCAGACACAGGACTTTTGTTGTTATCAGATGAATTTGCTCAGCTGTGAACTGTTGTGTTGCAAAATCAAAACGGCATTAGATAAGCTTACCACAGTCCAAGACGGGGGTTACGCCTTGCTGCATACTAAATGTTGTGTGTATAGCCAGTTCTCACAATATTTCTCTCCTTGCAAACCATGGTGGGTGTGGTTTTTATTAATTGTGCTTTTAATTCTCCTGTGCTTATCCTGTATCTGTAATCTATATCTAATAAGCCTTTCCCATGTATCCATAAGGGTATTTTCCTACAATTGAGTATCAGATTGATGCCGAATTTAGAGGAAAAGTTAAATTATTAAATTTGAACTCAATTGAACATGGACACAAACAATGGTCACCAAGTCCTGGAACAGGTTGTGTGAGCCCCTTGAGGTGTTCATCCAGCAGTGTTTTGCAGAAATATCTATTTCAATCTATTCCTATACATGAGTTATTGAAAAACAATAGACAATCGCAAAAAACAAGTTGACCTTTTTATGTTCCTTGAGCCCAGTCATGAAGGGCCCTCATTACTAGGCCTCATGCCAAACAACTCATTACAAAAAGAGCTGTGGTCCCAGACTGCACTGAAGCTTCATGAGACCTCTCCTTGTCTGTGTACAAA